CCACAAGGTTCTTTGTCGTCGGCCTGCTCTTTGCCGTGCGCGAGCTGACGGCAAAGTACTGGCTGATGGCAAAATAACCTGTGCCATCAGCTATTTCTTTGTCGTCTGCTTTGTGGAAACTGACGGCAAAGAAGCTCTATGTCGTCAGCTAGCAGACGGCAAAGAAGTGGATTCCAGTAGTGCCAAGTGCGGTTCAGCATTGCGCGCATAGCTCGCCATCAGCATGACACTGCCCGCCCCTCTATCCGAGCTCCCAAAATTCTCCATCTGCGGCACCCCGCCATTGAGCTCCCAGGTTGCGGCCCCGCTCGAATCAACGTAGCCCTCGAACTGAATCCTCTCAACATAATCATCCATCCACTCGAAATGTGTGCATTTCTTTAGGATCTGAAAACGACAACATGAACCCTAAGTTCAAAATTCGAGGGGAAAAAACAAAATATGGAGAAATCAGAGCAAACAGCAGTGAAAGAACGGGCTAAGAACTGAGATCTAACCTTGCCATCCCTTGCTGCCATTGATTTGCTCAAGCACTTCACAAATTCCCGCCCAAGATTTCCATTCTCATCAGTCCTACTGACCCACCATTTCAGAGGCTCTGGGCGTGGGCATGACAGGCACCTTGTGAGCGGCACTGGACCATACTGACGCCATTTTGAGTGCGTGGCGGAGGAGGTGGACATCTGGACTAGGTTGCCGGAGAAGAGGAAGAATGGGGAAAGGGGAAGCAATGGGCGGCGGCGGGCGGACGAGCACGGGCGAAGAGGTGGGTCCCGCGCTTACTGGACAAGTGGTGGGTCCCGCTCTTACGTGGATAAGTTGTGGGTCCAGCCCATAACAGCTGATGAGGGCATCAGTTCAGCTTAAGAGCCATGTCGTGTGTGGGCTATTTACTCGCTCAAAAGTGTCGCCCCAAAGCCATTCTGTCGAACAACGTCTCACTCCATCCAATTCCCACGAAAGATGTCGCATAGGAGCTATTGACCCATTGTTGTATATCCTGAATATTATTTGCATGGATTGTCATTCTTGCCTCTGTGCCCTCCGGCACAAACAGCAGTTGAACAAGGGACCCTGCCAATTGTCAAATGAATTAGAGCAGTTTTCAAAAAGGCATTCATCATCTGCTGCCATGTGACAAATTAACTCGTGACAGTACCGACCAACGACATCGACAGAAGCTTCATCTGTAGAGGTCATGGCAAGATGTAAGTTCAGCCAATCATCCTCTGCCATTCTCTTGGTATTTGCCACTTCCATTTGCCTTAACTGACATCTTTTTCTGATGGCTATTTACTTTCTGGTCAGAATTTGCAGAACAAAATACTTTACCGTCAGGCATTGTTTCCAACCTACTGGAATTGGTGGGCAGCTACTTTAGTAGAGCCCTGTAGCTGATATGCTCTGAATTGCCTATCTGTACGACTCTGGTCATATGGGTTTTGAATGTAGAGAAGAATGTGTCGGCTTTCTTATGTTGCCCGGAGATCGACACGGGAAGGATTCTATTAATTGTTGCATAGCTGCAACTGATGGGTGTCCAAAAACTAATGTCATAATGCTGATGGGCATGGATTTCTTTTTGTTCCTTTTTGCAAGATGGATAGCAAATGCCTGATGGGTGGTGATATTTGAGTTGTAACTACAAGGATCTAAAGTTCCACGAACATAAGAGACCGGCACACGCTAGTTTAAAAATTGGTTGTGCATTTTAATCATATTCAAAATTTTCAATTGTTTGAATCCTTCTCGTATTGATGCTTTGTTACCTCGACCCATCACCCATCGACGCACCCCTTGTGTCACCCACTAGGGAGAATATATAATGTGCGCCTGATCATTGTTTGACATATTTTGAAATTTTGAGATTCTTTCCGCAAAAGAAACATAAGGTTGACGAACAAAAAAAATCGTGATTTGTGATTGGTTGATTGTACATGGAGTTGACAACGTTGGCGTAAAGACCTACGCGCATTGTATGCAACCCTTCGTTAAGACAAGAAAATATAACTTTGTGGCCAGTAACGATAATCGATTACTTTCTTACAATCATCGAAAGGACGGCGGATGACTCAATTTGACAATCAGTTGCTGGAATAAATCTGAAGCTGAAAATCTGAAGCGCCGAGCCACCGTCTCATCACAACCACTTGACATATATAGTAAACACGTGACATTTGAGGTGGTTTTTAGGTAGAATCGATGGGGAGAAAAATCAAAGATGGGAGCAAAAAATCAAAACAGGAAGAATTGGCAGGGAGGTCGGATGAACGGCAGAAGTATGACGAAAGCTGAAGTTCTTTTTAAAGTAATGAAGATATATCGTATATCATTGCCGCTCCATTGAGCCATAACACATTGACTCCTCCAATTTTGTGTATTGGATTTGTGCATTGTTGCACTCAAATTGTGACAGAAATGCAAATTTCGGTGGAACTCATATTATTAATTTTCAGATAATGCATGTATACATCGATCATTGCATTTTTTTAAAGCAAGTCAAGCGTATCTTACTACTAAAACTAAAAATAAAACAAGTAAGACATTAAAACATGATTCGCCGCTCCATGGAGCCATAATACATTGACTCGGCCAATTTTGTGTATTGGATGTGTGCATTGGTTGCACCCAAATTATGACAAAAAACACAAATTGCGGTGGAACTCATATTATTAATTTTCAGATAGTACATGTACATATTGATCATTGTATTTTTTTTAAAGCAAGTCAAGCGTGTCTCACTACTAAAAGTAAAACAAGCAAGACATTAAAACATGATTGGTAATGGGAATATTTAAACAAAGCGTGCATGCATGAGAATTAGCATAATGGGATATCTCAATGCTGCTATTTTGCATGCATGGTAGTATGCAGATGATGTTGCGCGTGAATAGGTGTTTAAGGCACCACTTAGGCACCATTTTTGTTGGCGGCCTGCTGAGAGATGGCCCCGTACTTCATTGCATCAGCCTCAGATTTCGCGGCATCCTTCTTAGCGGGTGCTGCCTCTTCAGGTCTGGTGGCGGTTTCAGCCTTCTTGATGGACTTCTCGGCAGCAGCTATGCGCGCATCTGCCAAGGTACCAACAGCTTCTTTCCTGTTGGGGGAGGTAGAAGAACTTGTACCAGCTGCTTGCTGAGAAATGACACCATACTTTGATGCAGCAGCAGTAGACTTGGCTGCAGCTCGCTTGGCAGCCACGGCCTCTTCAGGTGTGGTAGCGGTTTCAGCCTTCTTGCTGATCATCTTACCAGCAGCAGTGTGCATAGCTGCTAAGTCAGTGGTGGCTTCTTTCCTATTGGGGGAGGTAGAAGAACTTGTACCAGCTGCTTTCCGAGAGATGGCACCATACTTTAATGCATCGTCAGCAGACTTTGCTGCGTCTCGCTTGGCAGCCACGGCCTTTTCAGGTGTCGTGGCGGTTTCGGCCTTCTTGATGGACTTCTCGGTGGTAGCATATTGTGTGGCGGCTAAAGTACCGGCTGCTTCTTTCCTGCCTGGGAAGATAGAAGAACCTTTACCAGTTGCCTGCTGAGAGATGGCATTGTACTTTAATGCAGCAGAAGCAGATTTTGCTCCATCTTGCTTGGCAGCCGCGGCCTCTTCTGATGTGGTGGCGCTTTCAGCCTTCTTGATGGACTTCTCGGCGGCAACAACACGTGTAGCTGCTAATGTAGCGTCAACCCCTTTCCTGCTGGGGGTAGCCATCTTCAATGTGTTCTCCTCCGCAGCGCCATAGGTGTCGGCTGGCCTTGTGGCCGCCACCGCCACAATGGTGGTGAGAAATAACATGGCCACGACATTCTTTCCGTTGGCCATTAGTAATTTCTCAAGTGGTATCTTAGGCGCGCGGAGGATTTGAAATGGTGGGGACACATGATTTATAGAGGTGATAGGCTTTTATAGAGACAATGTGAGGTCAGAAAATCTCTCCCATGAATGTGAGGTCATAAGCGGTCAACAATGAATGTGAGGTCACCAGAGCCCCACAAAGGTATGTGGTAACCCATTTGTGGAAGCATGCATGCATGAATGCGATTTTGCGTTTTTTTCTGGTTTCTCTCTATGTATGGACCGTGGGAACAAAAATAGATTTCTGAGCGCGAGCTCAGATGCTCTCGAAATCCAGACCTTCTACTCTTTTCGAGATTGTTGTAGGTACCATTGCGTGACTTCCAGCCCAGACCAGGAGGTCCTTCTCGTCGTACTGGAATGGGAGCCCCTAGGGACGCGCGCGAACTCCGACGGACACCATGCACGACTGTAGGTGCATGTGTATCCGTGCGGTGCATTCATGTGGTGGCAAGTGACGTGACATGAAACAGCTTGCTGCCATGGTGAGCAAGGTGTGACATGAGCAACGACCACCAGAAGTCGCCTCCAATGTTGAAGTCAACCACGCATATGAATGGGTTGTCCATGACGGCTTAGGATGACCTGGTTGGTGATGAAGCACGCAAACTTCACGAAGGACGCTACCTCTTGTAGCATCTGGTAAGCCAGCAATCTATTGGCCGGCGTCGGCCGTGGATGGCATTCGGTGCGCGCGCCGGCGATCCTACACCGCAAGCCCCAACTGGAGCTGCACAAATCTTTAGGCCATGACTCGGATTCAAAGTTTCAGACTCACGCCACGGGCAGCAGAGTGAGCTCCAACTTAGATGAATCCAACCAAGATGGCACCGTCTGTCCTTCGTTCGAACCCTCCTCGTGTGCTACACGATAGACCCACATGTATCGCACTATTCATGCATGTATAGTTCGTTATGGGGATTTTCCACGCCCTAGCAATGCCCGAATCTCCACGCAGCAATGAACAAACATGATAGCAGGTGCATCTAAGCCTAGGCACCAAAATCACTGCTCCCACGTGGGATGCCTCCACTCTGGCTTGCCACATGGATCCGGCTGCCGTCGTCGCCTCCTCCAAGCTACCTCGGGCTCCTCCTTCACACGGTTGGCCCCGATGAGCTCTCTTTGCCACAAGAGGTGGATGAGTAATGCCTCCAAGCCCGTGCACCCTCTTTTCCCGTGCATCAACGTGTATGAGGTCCCCCCTCCCCAAGGTCCACCACCATCACCGAGTGCGTCCCCGAGCCCTCGACACAATATCCACCAAGCCCACTATCGATGTTGTTGAGTTCGTCCTATGGCCCCCTTCTCCGACATCCTTTAGTGTGGCCTGGAATCACATCAGCGTCGCGTGGAGTCACCCATCAATAATTCTCCTGTCATAAAGAAAGGCGATATCCCTGATCAGCTCTCCTCCGGTGCTCTAGTGCTGCGCATTTGTTGCTATTGCGGGCTTGGACGGCAAGGTCATAGAGATGGAGGCACCAGCAGCATCGGCGGTCATTTCTTCTTCTGGACAACAAGAAGATGAGATGCGGCCAGCGGCACCCACACAATGTTCACTCCTGATAGGTCCCCTATGCGGTTTCTTCATTGGTCGACTTTCCTTTTCCCCGGCTTCATGTGATGTTATAAAAAGTAGATGTGCCGCTTGATACTTCCGCCGACTTCTCTTCATTTCTTTTTCCCTCGGTTATACGAGAGTTCTTGATCTACTATCGCTCCTCACATTCGATCAATCAATAGTGACAGCAAGAGATTTGGGGGAATTTGCATAGGGTTTCCACACCAACAGAGGTGCGAGATTGAGCTAGCTGGGTCATGGTGGCTAGGGTTTAACCCTTTAAAAAACGAGATGCCTCTACTACCAACAAGTCATTGCCTTTACTAGGTGAATGGCCGCGCATTGCAACGGGGAACATTCATGAAGCCGTGAGTGATATATTCAGGTGATGCTATCAAGAATCAATCAACTTTACGCTCTTGCTAGAACATCATATACATGTGCAATGTATGTATTTCTGCCAACATCTTGCAATGTTTATCTGACTATTTTCAAGGCTGGTCTGTATGCTGGCATGTCTCCTCACCTTGAATCTACAAATATGCCCAGAGAGGGCATTTGCTATCAAGAGTATTTAGTTCAGTTATAAGTAGTAGACGCATTTTCTTTAGCACTGCAATAAAAAGTGTTTTGTCAGGACAGTAAATTGCAAGCACAAAAGGAAAGGAACCATTTTTTACCTAATAACCCAGCTTTTAAGTAAACTTCGAAGAAAAGGCTCATGAACCACAAAATTGAACAATGTTTAAATGAGTCATTGTTCTTCAGTTTTTTTCATTAGAAACAGGGTGACAGTTCGTGTCACTTAGCAGCAAGATTGCAGCCACTATGGCGTCCTTCTACATGTAGCACTTGAAAACTTCCCATCAAACAATGGCAAACTTGACTGACAATGGCATGCTGCGGGTGCCTCGGCTCATCAGATGTCGCCACATGCATGGAAGTAGTTCTGCCCACATCCAGGAGTTCAGAAGATAAGAAACTTTTCCGCAGAAAAGAAGAAATACTCATAAGAAATATCTAAGGACATCATGATTTACTCATTATGTAAAATATCATCCCTTTTGAGGGTCACCAAATCTATGTTTTACTCGTTGGACCAAAAAAAATTATTCATTACAGAAATTCAGATTGCGAGCTACCTGATCACAAGACTACTTAAAGTGTGAGGAAATTAAACTGACGGAAGCGGGAAAGGCACACAATGGATTGTACCAGTAAATTATATCCGATCATTCTTTGTAAAATAGGTAAATATGATAGCCATTATATAATCACCGTATACAGTCTCCTCAGGTTCATGAATGCATCTAGTCCTCGTTGTAATGTAACAACCACACAAGATCAGGGAAGAGAAAAATACCATGTCCAACTCTGGACCTTGATGGGCTTTGTCCTGCCCATTCATCTTTTCCAAACCTATATAATGCATGGCCATTCCATATCTGTGTATCCCATTTTTTTTGGAAAAGGGAATATATATTAATATCGCAAAGATACCAATTACACCCAGCCTCTGCACCTACAAGGTGTCATAAAAACACCCAGGATGCACACAGCCAAAAGAGAAAATAAAAAGAAAGGTCCCGCCACAGTGGTCGACTCCTCGCAACAGCAGCACACCTACCACCACCTAATACAACACCCGGAAAACATAAAAGGTCTCCAAAAGCAACGCCTCCAAGAAGGAAACAGTGCACAAGCGTCGTTGTTGCCTGATCCAAGATCTTAGATTTCCACCCTGGAGAAAGCCTGCGCTTTCAAAACAATTCCTTCAGCAAGGCAATCGCCAGACACAACCAAAGAAGGTCAGGCCTTAGGTTTTCACCCTGAAAGTCACAACTCAGCACCCGAGGAGTACCACCAAAAATGAAATTCGCCAGTGTTGCCACCCGCACTTATCACTGCCGCTCCTGAGAGTTATCTGACACATGGCTGACTCCATCACCTCCAAGGCTTCATCCGTCCAACTGATCCTCCGATCTCGGCCACCATGACCTTCTCCACCACTGTCTTCACCATGGAAATCGAGAAGCCGACATGTCCCAAGGTGTCATCAACGAACAGAGCTTCGCGCCACGCTCTCAGAACCTCTTAGGCTGATATGAGCGTGCACGACCGAAATCTAACTGATCCAGCTATCATGGGCAAGATCTCTAGCGGTCGTCCCGGAACACGTCGATGGCCAGATCGAGGAGGAACGATCATGCAGGGTGTTGTCATGATGCGAGAAGAGCACGAGGACTGCCACCTTAATCATCATGGCAGCAAGCCCCCACGCCGCCCCGATCCAGCCTGCTGCCGCTAGGACGGGCGCCGGCACCACCACGGTGCCTAGCAGCCGGCGCCATCAGGCGCCAGCAGCCTGCAGCCACGTCCCAGGGCCGTCGATCCGCCCAAGCCCATCCGGGGTGCGCAAGATCGGTGCTAGGAGATGGAGCAGACCTCATTCGGATCGACACCACCACCAGAAGACCGTTGGAGGCACCATCCCCCACCACCACACCCGCTGCAAGGGGCAGGTGTCGCACCACCGAGACGAGGACGGACACGAAGGCAATCCGAAGGCCGGCGGTGCCCAGATCTGGACCACCAGCCCTGGCCGTCAATGCTTCGCCCCCGCCACGTTCCTGAGCATCCTCGTCATCGTCGACCCTTGCCAGACGCCCGCTAAAGACCTCCACCCCACCCCGCCACCGACCCATGCAGATCGGGAGTCGCCGCTGAGCCGCCGCCACACGCCATCGAGGCCGGGAGAAACCGGAGCGGAGGTTGCCCAGGGGAACTGCCCCGCCGCCGCTGTCACTGGATCCTCCCCGGGCTTCAATAGAAAGGAAATGCAATAAAAAGGAAATGAAATTACATCGCTCCCTCCAAGGACCATCTAGGGAGACCACACGATTGTCCTTTTAATGGTTCTTCCGAGCTTCTTTCTGTGAGAAATCTTTCGATCTATTCATTTTCAATCATGACAATATAATGGACAATAGGAATAATAAAAATTACATCCATCCGTAGACCATCTAGCAATGACTACAAGCATTAAAGCGAGCCGAAGACGTGCCGTCGTCATCGCCCTTCCCTCGCGGGAGCCGGGCAGAACTTATTATAGTAAACAGTCGGGAACTTGTCGTGCTAAGGCCCGGTAGGACCACCGCACTAGAATAGCAACTGCCGCCGATGAAGAGACCCATAGATCGGAAGGATCCAATCTAACGACACACAAATGTAGACGAACGAAGACCGGGTCTGAGTAGATCCACCAAAGAGAAACCACCTACAGAATCCTGCGAGATCCGCCGGAGACACACTTTCACAAACTCTCTGACGATGTTAGATGCGCCATCGAGACGCGGGCTAGGCGGGGAGAACCTTATTCAATCTTCAGGAAGCCGTCGTTGTG